CGCCAACGCCCCCCCCCCCCTCCCCCCTGGTAGCGTGCCGATCGCTTTGATCCCTGCCAGGGGCTCACGCTACGAACTCCCCAAAAGCCCCCGGCCCCGGCCCCGGCCCCCAGCCAATGATGCTCCCTCACTTGCTCCTGACCAGGGCTCCACCTGTCCATCTATGAAAAATGATTCACTCGCCCTCCCGGCCCGGGGGAGAATCCCCGGCCAACCGTTGGGCGTTGCTCGGGTCCTGGTGAGCCGTTCGTCCTCGGCATGAATGCAAGCATGCACCCACACGGCCGCCCGCCCGCCCGCCCGCCCGCCCGCTGGAGGCCCTGCCATGATCGCGGCCTGGGCGCGTGAATCATCCCCCGCCCGCCTCCCGCTGGGCCATCTAGGGCGGCCACTACCGCCGGCTAGACCCAGCCAGACAGGCACCCACGCACCCCCCCTCTCGTGCATGTCTTTTCTGGTAGATTTATATTTAATTGGTTCGGGGCGTAGTAATATTACAGGGGGCAGAGAGAGAGAGAGAGAGAGAGAGGAGGGGGAAGTAAAGGAGGGGCAGATACCACGAATGCATGACTGAGAGACGCTCCTAGAGGTGGAGGGAAGAGGAGGAAAAAAAGCCCCAGGAACATCCCACCGCGCGCACGCACGCACACACGCGCACCCTTCCCGGAAATCTTGGCCCCTGGTAGGGGGGGGGGGATCAGATACGAAGGCAGGGAAGGGTGGGGGGCGCCACGGCTGGTGGAGGAGGAAAATGGAGAGGCGTCATCTCAAACGAGCAAACGGGGGGGAGGAGGAGAGGAGCATGACGGGGGGGGGGGGGATAAAGGAGTGTCTCCCCTACACGGACCCGCCCCCTCCCCAACTCATCGGGTAACGGAGAAGGGGGCCGTGCGCGGGGAGAGGTGCGACAGCGACGAGATGGCAATGCGCCCACCGCGGCGCATGGCGCCCCTACCTCCGCAAGTGATGCACTTTCCCCGTCCCATGCGGAGGAGGAGGGAGAGGACACACAAGAGGGGAACGCACGCGTGCGCACTGGCCCACCCGATGCCTGGCCGGGCTGACCGGCACAGGGACGAGAAAGGCAGAGGGGAGAGAGAAGGAAAGAGGGCGTCACGAGGCCGGCTTGTGACTGTGAAAATGGAAGGGGAGATGTGCGTTTGCGCCCCGTCCCTCGCCTCGTCCTGCCTCCGTCCGGCTCCCCTGCGCGGTCTCCAAGGAGAAAGGTGGAGAGAACATGTGCGGACAGCATATGGAGGGCGAGAAGGGGAGAGGAGAGATGAGCGGGCTCTCATGCATCGGAAGTGCGCGGCCGCGCGGCCGCGCGCGCACCGGAGGAACATCGCGCCTTCTCACTTACAGGAAGTAGTCGGTGGTGGTCCGGCGGTGAGGGGTGTCTGGCCCGGGCTGGTTCGGGGCATCCTTGAAGATGGTGAACTGCGGCATGAGCGACTCATCCAGCTTGAGGATGGCGGCCACATTGTTGCACCGGTAGCAGTAGTTTGGCGCCGACCAGACGGTGACGATGCGCTGGTCGAACATGTACTTGTAGCCCTCCATGACCAGCTGATGTGCACGAGCGATGAGCGAAAGGCCGTTGGCATCGTTAAACTGTGAACGATTCCGGGCAGGAGGGAAGGGAGCAAAGATGGGACACGTGTGTGCGTGTGTGCGTGTGTGCGTGTGTGCGTGTGTGCGTGTGTGTGGAGGGGGTGGTGGTAGAAGAGCGGCGAATGAGTCAGCGAACACCGAAGGACCGAACGGAAAGGGCGACCCGGAGGGAGGATGAAAGGAAAGCGCAACGAGGAGAAGGGAGCAAGAGGGGCAAACAAGCAGGCACGCACGCCCTCCACCACGTCGCGGCCGAAGAGGAAGCCAGCCCCTCGAGGGCTGACACCCCAACTGCTGATTTCCTCCGGGTCGGACCAGAGCAGGTCGCACATGGCACCCTCGTGCGGGACCTCCTGCTTGCGGTCAATCGTCCGGATCTGATCCAGGGTGTTGATGGACGGCGACAGACCACCATGCACACAGAACACCCGGTCGGACACAATGGCCGAGAGACTCAGGTGGTCGAACACCTCGCAGCAGTAGCGCCACACATTGACCGAGTTGTACTTGCGCACACACTCGTCGTAGAAACCGTAGATCTGGGTGATCTGTCGCGACTCGTGGTTCCCGCGGATGAGGGTGATCCGGTTGGGGTAGCGAACCTTGAGGGCCAGCAGCAGGAGGAAAGTCTCGATACTGAAGTGGCCACGGTCGACGAAGTCACCTGTCGGGGCAGCGAAAAAGGGAGGCAGAAAGGAAGGTGTGTCGGGAAATCAGTAAGGAGGCACAGGCGAGGGGGGCCGGAAGGCGGAGGAGGAGGGGAGGGGGTAGAGGGGAGCGGGCTTGAAAACGCACCCATGAACATGTAGTTCTCGTGGGGCACCTCGCCACCAATCTTGAAGAGCTCCATCAGGTCCCAGAACTGGCCGTGAATGTCGCCGCAAATCTGCCAGTCGCAAGCCGGGCGGGAGGGAGGGAGGGCGGGAGGGCGATGGGGGGGGGGGGGAGTCAGCTCCGGGCGCGAGGACGGGAACAACAGCACACAAGGGGGCAACAGCAACTGGGCAAGCCCCGGAGCAGCGGGGGCGCAGGCGCACAATGACCGGCGGGTCGACGCGCTGGACGTTGCTCTCCTCGACGAGGATCTCCCGCGCGCGAGAGCACAGCTGCTTGACCTCCCGCTCGGAGATCAGCTCGCAGCGCTTCAGCTTCTCGATGGCGCTGCGAATGGCAGTCCAGCAACGAGGCGGATGATTAAGCGATGTCAGGGGAGACAGCGGATGATGTCGAGCTGGCAGCACATGGGAAACCAGGAAGAGAGGGAGGCAGAAAGAGGGAGAGAACGCACGCATCAAGATTGAGCGACATGATGGAAAGAAAGGGAGCTCAGCCTGTAATGGCACACCGATAGGTGGAGGGGCGGGGCCCGAAGAGAGGACAGGGGGAGGCAACGGACACGGGTGCAGCGATGAAAGGGCGGCGCGCCGTCGAGGTGCCGGGGAGCAAGCGAGTCAGACAACGGGGCGGCTTGCCCAAAGGGAGGCGCACAAAAAGCAGGGCCGCGCGGGAGCAGCACAGGGCCGAACGGACCAGACACGGGCGGGCCGGTGGACGTGAGCGGGGGGGGGGGGGGGGCAGGCAGACAGCACGGAACCGGGGACTGGGGGGGGGAGGGGTAGGCGGGTGGCAACGACGGCAGCGGTGGCGGCGGTGGCGGCGACGGCGGCGTGGGCACAGAGCAAGGAACAGGGGATGGGGGAGGGGAGTTGGAATCAGGGAAGAGGAGTGGTAAACAGGAACGCCCATCCGCGGGCCGGAGGGGCTCGTCCCTGTAAATGCCCCTGAGGTGGGCCCGGCCCGGGCGGTAAGCGGGCGCGAGCAGCCGTTGTTGGCCGGATAGAGGGGGGGATTACCCAATTGCCGCCGCCGCCGCCGCCGCCGCCGCCGCCGCCGGTGCGGGGCACAGTCGCTGGCCCGCCGTCCCGCGTCCGGGCCACTCCAGCCGTCTATCTCCCCCCGTGTGTTTCCCCCTGCGCGTGCCCCACGCCCGGGGGGTCTCGCACCCCCCCCCCCTGACCGCCCCCCAGGGCCGACCCAATACAGGCGCATGCACATGCATCAAGGGGACCCCAGCCCCGCGCGCTGTGCGCATGTACGTGCGTGTGCGCGCCTGCCCTTCCGACGGCCCGGGGCGAGGGCGCTCCGGGGCCGGGATGCGCTACCTGTGATCAACGGCGGGAGTCGTCGGGCGGAGGAGTGGCCGCCCCTCCTCCCGGCCCCCCGTTACAAAGGCCGGGCGCCGTGGGGCCCGGCCGCCAGGTACTCTCACCGGCCGAACTGAAAACCCAGCCAGACGCACATTGTACCCCGCCCATGCCGGGCCGCACCCCCCCCCCCGAGCGAGGGCCGCGACACTTGCCAGCGAACGAGAGGAACACAGTGCGCGCCACGACCAAAAGGGCAAGCGACTCGCTGCGGGGGGGGGGGTGGGGGGGGCGCGGGTGGAGAGAACGGGAGAGAGAAGGGCGCGGAGAAAATGAAAGAACAACACACACACACACACAGACATGGGACTGGTGTCTATCGGCCGTCCAATAAGACCCCGTCTGTGGCCACCAAGACGACGGGGCCTCCCCCGGGACCCGTGCGAGAGCAAGCAACAGGGCCCAAGGTGCAGCTGACGCACTGCGCCAGCTCCCCGGCGTCCCGCTCGGACCTTGGGGCCGGCGACGAGGCGCGTGAGTCACTCGGGCGCCGCCTCTGTCCGGGGGCCACAGGACAAGCAAAAAGGCGAATGGGCGCGCGACCGGTCGGCACACGCGGGACCTGTCGCGAAGCGCGGCCTAGGTCCGCTGGGCCGGCCGCCGGTGCTGGGTCGCCCCCGAGACAAGGCCCCCCCCCCCCGCCAGGCCCGGCCACGGCCAGAGGTGCGCAGGTGCGAATACCCGAGGCTCGCCACGCTCGCCGCACGACAGGGCCGGCACGGTACAGGGCGGCACGGCCG